GCCTCCTTTCTGGCTGCTAGTGTGGTCCTTAGAGGGACCAGGAGAAAAGAGGAAGGGGCTCTGGAGCTGGAGGGCTCTGGGGCTATACCCACACCCCCCCACCAGCTGCATGACCCTGGGGATACTCCCTCTCTGAGCCTCAGTTTTTTTACCTTTCAGGTGAGGGTGATAATACCTACCTGCCAGGTAGTTGTGAAGATTCAGGAAAGCCCCTGAAAAGCCCAAGTGTTGGAGAAATGCTAATTCTCCTCCTTCCCAAGGCTCCGACCTCCTGCTCCCTCCCATCCTCATCTGGCATTTAGTGGAACTCCGTGAGCTCTTCTTAGGGGTATTGGCATTTAAACCTTTCTATACACTTGTGAAATTCATTTTTTAATTGTGCATTCCTCTTTTCCACGCATATTTGTTGAGGCCTTACGACCTGTCCAGTGCTGGGCTAGGTGCTGGCAGCACAAGGGTGCGTGAAGCAGGTGCGGCCACTTCAAGGCCTGTCCGGGAAGTGAGCTCTACTCTTCCCAGTACAGGCAGGAGGGGAGAGCAGTCCTCTCAAACTCCAGCGTGCAGCAGGGTCCCTGGGACGGCTCTTGAAAACAGACGGCTGGGCCCCACTCAGAGTCTCTGCCACAGGAGAGCCGGAGTGGCATCTAGGAAGCTGCTTGCCCACAAGCTCCCAGGTGCTGCTGCTCCTTGTAGGGTACTGTGAGAAGAAAGTGATACCTCTTGTCTCTAAGATGTTGTTTTCCTTGATAAGGCTCAGCTGGGGTGATTCCAGAATTGTGCACAAACCGTGGAGATTTTGGATGGACAGAGGGACGTGAAGGCGGAGCAACCTCAGCTTGCAGACGCAGCCCTGGGTGCCTTTGACCATCTCCTCTCCCTGTTTTTCAAGTCGAAATGTTTTTCTGGTGACCTTCCTTATTTCCCCAGGCAGATTTTGGCCATTTCCACTCCCACAGCACTCACTACATCTCTGTATTGTGATAACTGTCTCACAGATCCTATATGTGTGTACTGACCTATGGTCCCCAACAGCCCACGAACATCTGGATAGGCGGGACCACATCACATCTCTCAGCATCTCACTTAGGACTTAAATGTTTATGGGCTGCCAGACGAACTGATTGGATAAATGAGTGTGTTTAATGAGTATGAAAATATATGGTGCCAGGAAAAACTATCAAAATTGATAGTGTGTGTAGATTTTGAGAATTGGGAGCAAGTGTTTTCCTGCTAAAAAAGATGGGTTCAGTTCTTTCTTCCCCCATCAGCCATGTAATCTTGGGTAAATGACCCAAATCCTTCTGAGCTTTCTTTTTATCATGGGTAAAATAAGGACAATAATCTTTGCATGTATGTGAGGATGAAGTGAAATAATACATATGAAATGTTTGACAATGGTGCTTGGCACATAGAAAATATTAAATAAAATAAAATTTAATATTTGATAAAATAAGCAAAAAGAAGAATTGAAAAATGAAAACTGGTTGGACACAAGTGACCTTGTTAATTAAAGCTATTTACAATATTTGCTTAATATTTATGTCCAGTTTCTAAGCAGCAGCATACTATTTTATATATCACTTAGTATATGTCAAATTAACTTTGATAATTATTTTTCCAACATTAAATTCTATGTCGGTCTCAAGTCAAGGAGACTGAAGGCTAAGGAAGAGCCATCTGAATTGGTGTTTAGGATGTCATTGGTGACTCTTAAAAACTCTTATTCAGGAAAATGTGTATATAGGAGGAAAAAGAAGGATTTCAGAGTGCATAACAAGAGGCCACAAACATAGACACCTTTTTTGAGAAGTATAACAAAAAATAATATGTAAGAGGCTGGGCGTGGTGGCTCATGCCTGTAATCCTAGCTCTCTGGGAGGCCGTGGTGGGAAGATCACTCAAGGTCAGGAATTCAAGACCAGCCTGAGCAAGAGCAAGAAGACCCCATCTCTACTATAAATAGAAAGAAATTAATTGGCCAACTAATATGTATAAAAGAAAAAATTAGCCGGGCATGGTGGTACATGCCTGTAGTCCCAGCTACCCGGGAGGCTGAAGCAGGAGGATCGCTTGAACCCAGGAGTTTGAGGTTGCTGTGAGCTAGGCTGATGCCACAACACTCTAGCCTGGGGAACAGAGTGAGACTCTGTCTCAAAAAAAAAAAAAAGTAAGAGAGGATAACAGCAACTCTATATTAAACAACATATCTATAGAAACTAAATGTTTCCACTCACTTTAGTAACATATACCAGATTTGAAATTATTTTAATGCAAAATACTAGGCATTCTTAAATCTGAAGTCCTACAATTTTTTTCTCTACATTCTGTGAAGCAAGTGTTCCAATACACATAGAACTCATTTTAATGTTTCATTCCAAGGGTGGTTCCTTTATCAATGGATTCCCAAGTGTACTTTTTCAAAGGGCACTTAAAATATTTCTGCTTTGAAATTGAAGCTGTTTTAAAGCATAGATATTTTTAAATAGGCAACACCCTTGTGAGAGGAAGAACGCTGTTAATAAATCAGGTTCTAATGACCCTGGCAGGACAGAGAAGACAGGACTCTGTCATTGCTGAATTGGCCTCAGAAACAGTTCAGCACAGGAAATGGGATGACAGCACATTTCAAAGCAGAGCAAAATCCTCATTAATGCTGAACGTGGAAGTCGCACTTCAGCTTACAATTTGCTGAAACAGAAATAGAAATCCAACAGGAGGCCCTGTGGGTCTTCTTGTGTACAAAGAAATATGAGAGTGAGGTGTTATTCTATGAGATTCCATGATAACCGGGTTCGACTGCTTGTTTTTCAAGCAGCTTTTACCTTCAGATTTATTCTCAAGACAAACTCATCTAGTGCACTCTCCCCAGTGTGTTCAAGTGTGCACCAAGGACTACTCCGCAAACAGAAACCCGAAGACAGAAGCTTTTCGGTTTAAAAAAAAAAAAGCTTCTGCATTGCAGTTAATGGCCTCTTACTTCTTGCTTTGCAGAGGATAAGTGCAGTTTAAAAGCATGGTTAGTAACTAATCAAGAAAAAAAAATTAAAGCATGATTTATGATTTTTTGTTTTTCTATTCTTTGGGTTTTTTTTTTTAAAGAGAAAATGCATTTTTCTTGTTCATCCAACCTAATAGATCCTTTCTGTCCTTGCAGAATAAGAAATAAGATGGAATGTTCGTTTACCTTTTCAAAAGACTGTGGTACCTAACATTTTAAAGTCATATCCTATTTTCTCATCTTGATTAATCCATAAGTTTCAAATGTAGTGAATTACAAGCTATCATTTATGAGGTGATCCTTTAGCAGTTTGGAAGCACTTTCTAATGTGAGGAGAAGGAGGTTCTTTTTCATTGTATTTTCACACTAACACAAATCTAGTTAGTTGTATTAAAAAGGGCAGTGCGAATAAAAATAGTATCATTTTATGGTACTTTTATAATACTAATAAAAGGTATTATTAGGTAGCGCTGTTTCAGAGATGGAAAGAGCACAAACATTAGAGTCAAAGACACCTGAAACCTGCTGACCAGCTTGGCGATATTGGATAAATAACTTTACCTCTCTGAACCTCAGTGGCCTCATCCATAAAATGGGGATAATGCCAACATTCCAGGGTCACCGCTGGAGGCCAGCACATGGTTTGAGAGCAACCTCTGGAAACAGATGCCTGGGTTTGAATTCTGGCTCTAGGCAGGTTATGTAGCTTCCATCAGCTTCCTCATCCATACAATGAATATAAAATGGAAACTTACCTCTAGGATAGTTGTGTTGATTGTGTTATGTTGAGTCAATATGCATGAAGTATTTTGAGTAATGCTTGGCATATGGCAAGCACCATAAAAGTGTTACTTATTATTAATAGTAGTAGTAGTAGGTATGCTTCCTATCTCTTCATAAATAATAATAAACTATCCTAAATTAAAAAAATATAGGCCAGGTATGGTGGCTCACGCCTGTAATCCTAGCACTCTGGGAGGCCAAGGAGGGCAGATCGTTTGAGCTCAGGGGTTCAATACCAGCCCGAGCAAGAGCAAGACCCTGTCTCTACTGAAAAAAATAGAAGGAAATTAGCAGGGCATGGTGGCACATGCCTGTAGTCCCAGCTACTCGGGAGGCTGAGGCAGTAGAATTGCTTGAACACAGGAGTTTTAGGTTGCTGTGAGCTAGGCTGACGCCACAGCACTCTAGCCCAGGCAACAGAGTGAGAATCTGTCTCAAAATAAATAAATAAGGCCGGGCGCGGTGGCTCACGCCTGTAATCCTAGCTCTCTGGGAGGCCGAGGCGGGCGGATTGCTCAAGGTCAGGAGTTCAAAACCAGCCTGAGCAAGAGCGAGACCCCGTCTCTACTATAAATAGAAAGAAACTAATTGGCCAACTGATATATATATATAAAATTAGCCGGGCATGGTGGCGCATGCCTGTAGTCCCAGCTACTCGGGAGGCTGAGGCAGAAGGATCGCTCAAGCCCAGGAGTTTGAGGTTGCTGTGAGCTAGGCTGACGCCACGGCACTCACACTAGCCTGGGCAACAAAGCGAGACTCTGTCTCAAAAAAAATAAATAAATAAATAAATAAATAAATAGATAGATAGATAGATAAGAGTTATTTTCCTATGAAATTGATTTGGCTCATAGTAATTTACTACTAGATATGGAAAGAAATTTCATCACCTAGATTGTGTAAATGAAGACATGGAGAAAAGAGGATTGTGTCTAGCCAAAACCACAATTTCAGACACACCATTCACTTGGTTTAGAAAGAATGTTGAGTGTTATCTATTCTTCGCCAGAAGGAATATAAGCAACAAGTCTCTGCAGACATAGAAAGTATTGTTTTGAGGAAATGGAAAGGAGATCTCAGACATGCTTGGGCAAGATTACTATTCCACTGCCTTTTAATTGCAATTTCCACTCTAAAAATAGTTGCATTGAACTTTATTTATTATTGCTCAATAATCCCATTTGTAGAAGATGAAAATATTGGATGTCTTGCAATTGAAGACAGCTGGATGCTTAAAACTTGGTCTGAAGATTAAATAGAGTGAGTATCTTTTCCCTGGAACAATGAAATTGTTGTTTGTCAGTTATATCTGTAACTCCGAAGATTAGTCAGGGATGAGGGAGGAAATTTGATTTTCATAGAGAGGTTACCAACTGTCTTAGCTTTGCCTACTTGGAAGGGTTAACATTTAAACATTATGTTGGACCGGGAGTCATGGCCAATCTTCCAAGATGCCGACATGGCATTCTGTGTTAGGGGAAGGGAGGGGAGGACTGAATCAGAAGAGCTGGTTCACCCTCATTTCTAAAGCCTCTCTCCCTGGGAAGCATTAAGTCACCAAGACTATGGCTTCAGGGAAAAAGATATATTTTCCTCATTTGGGCCCAGCTGGGACTCTTGGTTAAGACAATGACCTGTTATAGGGCATGGGGTTACTGTAGTGTTACAATCCCTTAGCTCTGAATGTTCCTGGGCAGCAGGGTGTCTTCCCTAGAGACAGAGTTTCAAGCTGGAGAATATCTGAAAAATAAAAATAATGACAAGCACTACTAAAACTCTAAGTTATTTTGAATTTCACCTTGGAACTGGAAATTCACAATACAATGCTTAGTATTTCTCTATTAGTCTATTGAGATTTAAAAAAAAAAAAAAAGGGACTCTAAGTCATAAAAACAGATCACCTTGGAATTTTCCAGGGATCCCAGCCCAAACAGGCCAAGTCATCTCAAAGGCTATCCAATTTGTAGGTGGATAACTGGTGACTTTAACTATGGAGAAAAAACCAGAATAACATGATGTGGTGCCAGAAAACACACGAAGTGTTCTGGGACACTTGGCTCTGCTGGCTTCCTTTTAAAATTATTTTTATTATTATAAGCAACTTTGTAGAAAATTCATCCCATGCCCTCTTCAATAAAATATGATTATTGAGCTACCTCTATGATCACCTACAACTTTTTCCGTATGTACACATCTTATTTACAAAAGTCCAATCATTCTGTATACAATGGGAGTCTTACTTTTTATGTGACATTATTTATAACATTGTTCTCTTTAACTTTTTCTATGTATTTATGGTGTAATGTCCATATTTAATATTTTAAAGGATGGCATAACATTTTATCCAGTTGATATAACTATTTATATTCTCAAAGGTGCTATTTCTTCTTATTGAGCTCCCTGAGCCAAATAAATAAATAAAATCAATATTCACACTATAACTTTTGGAAAGTTTGTTTCTTTCTATACCCAATGAGATACTTTATTTGAACATGTTATCAACTCACTATTAGGCAATAAAGCATAAAACTTTTGACAGTGGCAACTCTAAAAATAGGTGAACAAATGATAAAAACAATGCAACTAATTATAGAAAAAAACTAAGAAAAATTTATTTATTTTTGTCTCCCTATACTATACAATGTGGTATGTTTTGATGAAAGTGGATATGACTGTTTAGAAAGCCAAAATGTACCAATGTGCTGCATTCTAGAATCTCATTCATTTATTCAGTCTTTTATTCAACTAATATTTATTGCACACCCACTACGTGCTGGAGACTATTCTAGGTGTAAAAGATACAGTAGTAAAAATACCCCTTCCCTCACAGACCTCACTGGGGGAGTATGCAATACATGAATGAATACGTAACAAAATGTCAGGTAGTGATATGTGTTGTAAAAAAATTCAAGAAGGAAAAAGACAGAGAGGATGACAGGGTGAGGTGAAATGGGACCCCTGCTATTTTAGAAAGGATGGTGGGAAATTTTCTCTGATGGTGGGTAGTTGAAGCCAGTGCTTGAATCTCGTGCATGTCTCTGGAAGAGGATGTCTTAGTGTGTTCGTGCAAGAAGTAGAGCTCACTTTTACATCGCTTCATTGTTTTCTATTCATTTGTTCCCACAAGATTTATTCTCATGCGCGTGCTGCTGCTTTGCTAGCTATGGGAGATAGAAGAGTGAACTGTGCAGGTGTGGCGCCTGCCTCATAGAATTTATGGGAAGGCAAGAAATTACAAGTGTGACAGTGCTTTGAAAGAGGAAGTACAGGGCGCTGTTGCGGTAGATTTTTATAGCTGGGAGGTCAGGGAAGGTTTCCCTGAGGAAGTGACCTTTAAGCAGTGAAGCAGGTGTGAGCCAGATTATTATGGACAAAGGCAAGGGGAGTAAGGGAAATTTACAGGCATGGAGGCAGTATACAACCTTTATTCGTTTTTGTTGTTGTTGATGGCTTTCCACTTTGTCACCTATCCAGTCTTGCAAGGGCTAAGAAGTCACATCATTTGATTATATTTCTGTGCTTCTCTCTGGCAGCTGTGCAAATGCATGACTTAACAGTAGATGAATAAAGGGCAAGGCACATGAAGCATAGGCACCAAAAACAATAGTAATAGTTCAAGCAAAGCAGAAGGACTCTATTCATACTTAAGATTCAGATATCTATTTGCAGAAAGTTTTATTATCAATCAGTCCTTCTGATAGTTGGAGTGCCCTTTGAAACGCAGAATTGGGGTCATAAATTTCTTAAAGACCACTTATCAAGCTCTAGTCACTTCCGGTTTTGGATTTAACACAAGTGCATATCATTTTCCGTGTCTTTAAAATAAGATTTATGGAAAAGAAACAACCTCCAGTAGGAGGAAAAAAAATATCAAAACCTCATAAGAAAAGATATGTAAGTTTTATTTCCTGCTTATAATAATTGATTATTTGAAACCCAGTGTGGTAATGATGTAGGGCAGGAAAGAAAGCTATGGGTCAATCCCATAAGCCTATGCCCTACAGAAGTCCTTGAGGTTTAAAAATGTCAAAGAATTTTCTTTTGGAAACTGTTTCCAGATGCTCCTCAACTTCCAATGGGGTTATGTCCTAATAAACTCATTGTAAGTCAAAAATATCATAAGTTGGAAATGTATTTAATATCCCTATAAACCCATCATCAAGTTGAAAAATTGTAAGTCAAACCATCGTTAAGTCCTGGAGTGTCTGTGTAATAAAGAAAATTTAGAACCAATGTGAATATTTTCAACCAGAGGGTTTTACATGGCACTGTATAATTCCCCCATATCTTGGAATATGCTGCAGCCATTAGACATCATGTTGTGGAAGAGGCTTAATAGCATGGGAGAATTTTCATGATAGATTCATTTTTAAAAAGCAGGATGCCAAACAGAATGTTGATATGATAAAAATTAGGTCAAGATATACTATAATAACAAAGAAAATACATCAATATTTTAATGGGGGTTATATATGCTTAATGGAATTATAGATTATTTTTAATTTTCTTTTTCACATTTGTGTTTTTCAATTTTTTTCTCACAAATGTGTATTGGTTTTGTAATCTGGAAAAAAAAGCAATAGATGCTCTTGTTTTTGTTTTTGTTTTTTTAATTGCAAAGAGAAAAAAAAGATTTGAGTAGGAGTCATTCATATAATGCGCACACATCTGTGTGCAAGATGGGAGTTTTCCTTAGGTAAGTTTTGAATCTGCAGTTTTTATATGAGTGAAGTAAAGGACCCAGAGTTCACTGCAGAGGATCTGAAGAGGCTTTGTTGCTTGCGATAGTGCTTGGGGATTATTGACTTTTATTTTAAAAACACCAAAAAGAAAGAGAGGGCCAATGAAGTAAGACAGCTTTACAAGGAGTAACTCTTTATAAGGAGTAATTTCTTCTACAAATGACAGGTAATACCCCCAGAAACATCACTTACATCTCACCACCCCAACTGCTGACTTTTTAACTGGAATGTGTATGGTGCATTCTTAATAGTGTGTTGTGGGCCCTGCATGCTGGCTGTCCCTTTATTTTGTCTACATGGAGTGTGCATATGTGAGAAATCCACCTTTATTTTTATGGTCTCTGGATTTTGTGGTAGTTAGGCTTAGATGGGCCTTTCAAAGTCCTTATAAAATTTTCACCCATATTTTTTCCTAGTGTTTTTAGAGGTTTCATTCTTTACACTTAAATCCTAGATTCCTATGGGTTATATTTTAGTATAAAGATAGGATAGGGAGAAAGTTTTGTGTGTTTCCATATGGCTAGCTAGTTGTTTCAATAGCGTTTATTGAAAAATATATTTTTTCCCAGTCATTTAAAATTTACTTTATACTCAATCTGGTGCTTTAGCCCCCTCTGGCCAAATGGGAAAGCCTCTTTCACATTTGAGCACCAAGATCTCTGGAATCTTGGCCATGTCTGCAAGCAAGGTCTAGTCTAAAGCCTAATTACATAGTCTACGACACAGTCCAAATGAGGTTTAACTGCTCTCCCATCCTGAGCTGCTAGGGCCATCCCATTCAAAAAAGAGCTAAGGAAGATCTTTTAAAAAGCAGCTGAAAGAGCTATAAACACTGGTTAACCTATTAATGCCTGACTTTCTTTCATTCCCATTTTTGTACATCCAGATGTCAACCTTGGTTAAAAAATCAAGCCATTCATCCACATATACACATAAACCACTTTCAACTGAGCCAGCTGCTAAGAGATAGCTATGATTTGTTTTCTAATTTCCCATTAAACAGCACATGTCTTGTGATCTCTATTCTCTGGCATCATGCTGTCTTCACTGGTTTCTGCCTGTGATTTCCCCGGTATCCCACGGTAAATCTTCTGGCTCCAGAAGCAATTTTAGTAAAACAGCTTTCTTATGGTCAAATCTCTTTGATGTTCTAATCAAAACCCTTTCCTTGAGTGTGAGTTTCCCTTATCTTACTTCTAACTGTTGAGACTTTCTTCTGAAACTTTCCAAACCTGGCCTTTTCGCTCTCTTGCTTCTCCTTCCCTTGCCCTTACTGCTCTGTATTTCCTTCTATTCTGATTCTCCTTTCCCTTGAGTTGGCACCTTTGGGGAGCCTTGCGCAGCCCATGCTCCCCACTGGGAGAATTACCTAAGCCTCTCCTGTCATCTCTCTCACCCAGTGGTCTGGCCGGGGGTCGAGGACATTCACGAAGGGCCAGAGCAATAGAGGGTGATGAGCTACAGAGAAGGAGAGTCACAAAGCAGATAGGCAGAGAGAAGCTGAGTCTAGAGGCCACAAGACGCCAGGGAGCAGAGAGGTGGGAGCTGCCTTTATACCTGACAGCACCTCAGTTCCAGTCCTTCATAAGGACTTGCTGTATTCCTTCCCACAGGGTTCCATGAGATACTCCTGTCTCCTCCCAATAAATCTCTCCCTTTGCCGTGGTTCAAGAGGCTTCCGTTTCTTGGCTTTTATGAGAGGACACTCTACCCCTCAGGCATAGTCCTGGGTATTTTCCTTTTCTCTCTATAAACCCCCAGTCTATCAGAGAATTTCATTTTTTTTTTTTTTTGGAGCAGAGTCTCACTTTTTTGCCCAGGCTAGAGTGAGTGCCGTTAGCGTCAGCCTAGCTCACAGCAACCTCAAAACTCCTGGGCTCAAGCGATCCTCCTGCCTCAGGCCTCCGAGTAGCTGGGACTACAGGCATGTGCCACCATGCCGGCTAATTTTTTGTATATATACTTTTAGTGGTCAATTAATTTCTTTCTATTTTTAGTAGAGACGGGGTCTCGCTCAGGCTGGTTTCGAACTCCCGACCTCGAGCGATCCGCCCGCCTCGGCCTCCCAGAGTGCTAGGATTACAGGCGTGAGCCACCGCGCCCGGCCAGAGAATTTCATTTTAATATACTTACCACCTCTAAATTGATGACTCCTTAATCTATATCTCTAATATATCAAGTTTCTTTGTTTTGCCAAAGTAATTGTGAGGAGGCAATTTAGCTAAGTACTTAAGAGTATGAACTCTGGGGTCAGACTACCTAAGCAGCCTGGGATCTCTCTGTGCTTCACTTTCCCCACCTGTAAAATGGGAATAATAAAAGTACCTACCATGGTGGTGTGAGTGTGTGTGTGTGTGTGTGAGAGAGAGAGAGAGAGAGAGAGAGAAGTGAATGAGGTAATGCATATAAACTTCTTAGAACAGCGCTTGACACATTGTGAAACTGCAGTAAATATTGTTATTGTTATTTATAGCAACACATTCCTATTTGATTTTCTACAAAGGCTTTAATATGTCCATCTCAGGACTCCCCAGCTTCTATCCAAAGAGAGCCTGACTGCATAACTTTCTGGTCCTGTCATTGGCTTCTCCATTCAATCCAACAGACCTGGAACTTGACTTTGGGTCTGTTGGACTTCAGAGCCTGTACTTGTTCCATTAGATCAGCAGTTCTCAAAGCCAACTGCGTCTCAGATCCTAAAGATATTGAATCTTCTAGAATGGAATTCATAATTTCATAGTTTTAAAAACTCCCCAGGTTATTCTAATGGATCCAATCATTGGACCAAAGTTTGGGGAACTACTATGGATTATACTACTTTATCCTCACTAACTTCATTTGTAAAATGGAAGCAATAAATATCTATTTCATAGAATTGTTACAAGTGATACCTAATATGCACAGAATCTTTGCTGCATGCCAGGCACTGTGCTAAGAGCTTTCCATTTATTATCACATTTACCTCTTAAAACAACCATGTGGAGTAGATATTAGATTATCCCCACTTTACAGATGAGACAACTGAGTTATAAGTAATTTGATAAAAACTCATCCAGCTAGCAAGTGTGGAGAGCTAGCACACTGACTGCTGGGTTAAGGTATTATCTCAAATAATGAATTCAGAGCAACTGGCTACATAGTAGGTGCTCAATAAATGTTCCCTTTCCCCTTCCTTTTATCTATATGATTCTATTCATGTCCAGTAAATTTTAAATTGAGGACAATACTTTGACCTTAGCAGTACCCAGAGAATTAAAAATTCAGTATTCTGGAAGATGGAAAATAAAAGAGAAGGTAGGTACCAGTGGAAGATGAAGGTGTTCAGGATCTCTAACAGAGAGAAACACAAAGGAAGTATAATTACATATATATAAAAAAAAAAAAAAACAGGTGTATGTGAGGGGAGAGAGTTGCTTGGCTGCTGAGGGTAGGAAAAGGCAAGGTGATAACCTTTAAAAGAGGAAAACCAAGATATGAGACTAGAACCACATCATCTCAGAGGAGCAGAGTCCTAAAAGACACCTATTCCAGCCCCCTGCCCACCACATGTTTATCCAATTCCTGCTTGGACACTTTCTGTGACAAGAAATTCAACGTATGCAAGCAGAGGATGCTTTAGCTGTTAGAAAATTCTTCATGTTGATTCATTCTAGAGTTTCCACTCATGGGCCCCCCTTCCATCCTTTAGGGCCCTGAAGAATAAGTCTAATTTCTCTTCTATTTGACAGCTCTTCAAATATGTGAAGACAGTTACCTTGTACCCCCTGAGGCTAAACCTCTGCTTCCTTTAATCTTTCCTCTTATGACATAGTTTCTAGCCTCTTTACATCCTGGTCCCTCTGCTTGTGCATGTAGATAATTTCTCCTTGCCAATTCTTCATTGCGGACAATACTTCATGTGGGCACTGACCACACTGGGCAGCACAATAACACTCACCTTGCTTTCCCTATCGGGCCTCTATCGATGCAGCCTAAGGCAGTACCAAAGTCAACTGCATCTCAGATCCTAAAGATATTGAATCAGAATCTTCTAGAATGGAACTCAGAATTTCATAGTTTAAAAATTCCCTAGGTAATTCTAATGGATCCAATCATTGGACCAAAGTTTGGGGAACTACTATGGATTATACCACTTTATCCTCACTAACTTCATTTGTAAAATGGGAGTAATAAGTATCTATTTCATAGAATTGTTACAAGTGATACCTAATATGCACTGAATCTTTGCTGCATGCCAGGCACTGTGCTAAGACCTTTCCATTTATCATTGCATTTTACTCTTACAACAACCCTGTGAAGTAGATATTAGATTATCCCCACTTTACAGATGAGACAACTGAGTTATAAGTAATTTGATAAAAACTCATCCAGCTAGCAAGTGTGGAGAGCTAGCACACTGACTGCTGGGGTTAAGGTTTGGGGCAGCCACAACTAAGATTGAGTTATTTGTCACCTAAGACCCTTTATCTTGCTCTTACAAGCATCTGTTAAGACATGTCTGCCCTCAGCCTGCCTTTGAGTGGTTGGTTCCCCAGGGTGAGACTCCACATTTATCCCTGATAGAGTCAGCCCATTGCTCTAATAGTGAATTTGGCTTAAGTCATATAATGATGTCTCTTCCCCTCCTGGCTTTTTGCCATCTGGAAATGCAGGGCAAGTCTTCTGGTTTTCATTCAGGACACTGATCAAAGTCCCGAAGTCTGGGCCTGGGAGAGAGACTTCTGTCATCCCTATGGTAACTGGTGTGGTACAGAGGATCTGGGGGAAAAAAAATTCGGTTTGAATCATGGCTCTGCCACCTACTGTGTGACCTTGGGCTTGCAAATTAAACTCTGAGTTTCAGTTTCCTCATCTGTAAAATGGGACAACAATAGTTCTCTCACAAGGTGGTTATGAGGATTAGGGGAGAAAATGCAGGGAAAACACTTAGCACAGTGCCTGGCACATAGTGGAGGGTGCGCCAATGTTGATTCCCTCCACCCTTCCTTTGGGTCCATGTGGGCTCATTACTCAGTAATTTTACCTTATGGTTACTTAATCAGTTATTAGTCCAATTAATTATACTAGCATCTTTATTTCTTCATTTGTCCACAATACCTTGTCAAGTGCTTTGCTAAAGTTCCATTTAAACAGAGTCTTCTCATCAAATGGGAGCAAAGACAGAGCAAATAGCAGTAAGATTCCACCTGCGTGCAAACTTGGGAAAAATAGTGAGCTGCCAATGAAGATGGCTGACCTTGGAAACAGTTAGCATTCAGTCCACAAGCACGTGTTGGGCAAACACTTTGTGCCTGGCAATACGCTGGGGCTGAGCAGTGGTTTGATAACAAAGCACAACATCTGCGTTCAAGGAGCTCAAGAGACACAGGCTAGTCTGGGTCACAGCGTCAGGTCAATTGATTTAATTCCATTTGTCCATATACCCAGCCAACAAACTTTTATGGAACAGTTGCCAGGTGCTGGGCACCTGGCCCCACCCCTCCACCTCACCACCCCACCCTGCCAGGTGCTGAAGGGGAGCTGGCATGGATAACAAAAAAGAAGACGCTGTCCTTGTATTCAGGGAGCTTAACATCTACAAGGGTTGGGAGTTCTTTGTGCTAAAGGCCCTCCACCAAGCGCTTGAGATGCAAAAACGAGACAGGTCCTCTCAGCAATCAAGTCGCGTGTCGTTTCGGAATTTTTATTTTCGGTGACTATCTGTTTCCTTCCGTCTCGCAACCTAGACAGCTTTTGCTTTTCGCAGTGGAGCCTAGAGCTGGCGGGCGGGCGTCTGCCGCACAGTAGGTGGTCAAAACCTGGCTACTGGAAGGAAACGCGACAGAACCGCCGCGCGCCTGTTTTCGCTTTGGAACCAGAGTGACAGCTCCAGCGGGACGCCTGGAGGTCAGGACGCACGGAGGGAACGCGAGAACACTTGCAGTGCTGGGGTGGAAACGCTTCTAGCAATACGAAGTGTTCTTCCCTCGTTTGGACGTTGGCAAACCAGGGGCTTTAGGCAGGGTCTGGCACTGCGTGTTCCTAAAATCGGTTTCCTAGATGGAGTTGGAGGGAGGGAAGTCGGGAAGCGCCGGTGTTAGCCAGGCGCCCGAGCGGAGACGGGAAGGGCGCGGGGTGAGAGCGGGCGGCCGGACGCCAGCGGGGACCGAGAAGAGGGATATCCCGGGCGACCGCGAGGCGCGCGGCGTCCGCACCGCAGTGGCCACTGAGTGAGAGACTCGAGGGGAGAGGGAGAGGGCAGGCGAGAGGAAATCCAGAAGGTCGCGCCGATTGGTCCTCCGCTCGGGGCGTGCGCTCCTGGGCGCCACATGATTGGCGGCGGGAAAGTAGCAGGTAAACCGGCCCCCGCCGCCTCGCCATTGGTCGGCGGCCCCTCCAGCTGACACATAACTGGGCCGCGGGCCGCCGAGCCGCGCGCGGATTGGCCAGGGGTGGCCGCCGAGACCGGCTCCCTTCGGGCGCTCGGATTGGCTGGCGGGAAGAGGCAGGTATCCGGGCTCCGCGGCTTCTCCATTGGTGGGCGGGGACGGGGGGTTGGGCACAGCGATTGGTGGGCGGGGGGCCGGGCCTGGGCCGGCGGGGAGCGGATTGGTCGGAAAGTAGGTTAGTGGTGCGACATTTAGGGAAGGCAGAAAGTAGGTCAGGGACGGAGGTGCCTGTTTACCCGCGCCGGACTCACCGCCGCCGCCGCCGCGGGATCCGAGTGCGGGCGAGGGCGCGGGCGCTCCCGGCGAGCCACGGTGAGTGTCGGGCGGCGGCGGCCGGCGGCGCGGCCCCGGGCACCCCGTCGGGCCGTTGGCACCCTCGCAGGCGCGGCGCCCCGGCCGCTGCCCCGGGCGCAGCCCGGCCGCCGGGGAACCCTGCCCGACGTGCCCGCTGCCCGCCTTAAAGGGCCCGTGCCCGCTCCCTGCCCCCACCCGGCCGCGGGGAGGCTGCGCCCCTTAAAGGCGCCGCGCCCGTCCGCCCCCATCCTCCTCGCGGGGGCTGGCGCTGCGGGCTGGGGCGGGCAGAGGTGCCGCAGGCGCCCTTAAAGGGACCGGAGAGTGTCCGCGGGAGTATCCGCTTCTCCTTCGCGGGCATCGCTACCTGGCGGGGGGAGGAGGCAGCCAGCTCCCTCTTAAAGGGACAGCTCTGTCTGTTCGGCGCAGTGACTCGGCTGAGGGCGAGTCCTCGGTACATCTCTGGGCGCTGCGGGGACCCCCGAGGGGACCCTCCTTAGCAGCTGCGCCCCAAGGGCGTTGGGCGAACGATGCTGCGTCTGCCCTTCCTCCCCCTCTCCACTTCCCTTTGGCGAGCTTGTGAAGCTGGGTGGGGGTGGGGAGGGCGTCTCCGTCGGGCTTGGGGAGTCCGAGCCTGCCCGGCCCTTCGGCCCTGTCGCCGGGGCTGGCGCTGCACCGGGAATCCCCCGGCCGGGCATGGGGCGGGCCCCAGCCTGCGGACTTTCGTCGGGCCTGCGCCGCCGTCGGGGTCCTGGGCGGCCCCGGGAGGATCTCCTGTGGTCTGCGGGCAGGTGCGCGACGGCGCGGGGATGTCGCCCGGCGCCCAGGTGCGGGCCAGGAGCCGGCCCTGGAGCCCCGCGGAGGGCGCAGCGAGGCTGGCTCAAGCTCGGGTTTTGACAGATGTCAGGGAAGAAAAAGGTTCCCGCTCGCGATTACGGGCATGGGTAGCCCAGAGAGCTCGGGTTTGCTGAGAGGAAGAAGAGGAAGGTAGAAATTAACGCCGACCTTGTGGGGCGCGTGCCAGCCACCCCGAAGGGTCGCGAGAGCCGGCTGTGGGGCGCGCGCTGGTGCCGGACGGCGGGCGCAGGGGAAGGAAGGGCTGCCCGGGACATTGGCGTCTGCTGTCAAGTTTGTGCCGGCCGGCGGGACACCCAGCTGGCACCCCTCTCCCCGCACCTCCTCTCCCTGTTCCCTCCCCCGCCTCGGCTCCTTCCCGGTCACCTAGCATGGTTCTGGCACTTTGGCGCCTGTGGTCTCTAACCTCGTCTTACATCGCTACTCCTCGGCAAGGAATTATTAGCCAAGTTTTCTCACCCAGCTTCCAGAAATCAGAGTCGGTGTTTATGAAGAAGCATTTCTTGACACTACCCGCATGCCCGCATTTCTAGGATCTTCGTTTTCTAAAAATCCATAAAAGCTGCTCATTAGATGCATCTCATTTCCCACCACTCTTGTCCTTCTGACATTGGCTGCTATTCCCCTCTTAATCTATTTTCGTATGACAACTATTATTTTAATTCTTCTGGTCCCGTTGATATCAGGATCTGTCAATTTGGGTTGGTGGAGTTTTTAATTAATGTGCCCGTTGAATCATGAGCTTAAAATAATCATTGCTGCTCCTGAGCAGTTTTGAATAATCTCATGCTCTCCGTGCTTGCATGACTTTTAATAAAAAATCGCTGCTGTTAAATTTGATTTTCATATCAATGAAATTCCCAAATATATTTTAAAACACAAAATTTAATCTTTCAGTCCATGCTTTGTTACTGAGTTTATTGATAAATCTTTAAAAACTGTTTGTTGAACCCGTTAAGAAGGCTGGAAGTTTCCTGGACAGGATTTGAAATTGCCTTGATCATCTGAAGTGGATGTGTAGAGGCATTTTGGTTTTGATTGTAGATGAAGCCAGTGAAAAATAACAATAAGTTAAAACTCTAGTTAGATTTGTATTTTATTCCAATCCCTGAAGTTTAAAAAGGGGGAGAAAGAGCAGGTGTGGTAGAAAAGCACTAACCTGGGAATTAGGAGCTAGACATCCTGGTACTGTCCCAGAACTGGGCTGTCATGGCTGTGCCACCTGGGGCAAGTTACCGAACCTTTCTGGGTTCTGTTTGCCTCCGATGGAAATTAAGACCATTGAACTAGGTGATCGCAAAGGTTCCTTTTGCTCTAAAGTTCAGTAAGTCTCTAAATATTTAATACATGTGAATTCAGGTTGGTATTTACCTCCTGGCACCTCCAGAGCATCTGAGCTGAAGCGCTATTTTCATAGGAAAGTTAAGCAGATCAACAGATGGTGTTTTAAAGGATCCATTTCAAATGATTTATAAAATGATGACTACTCATGAATTTGTCTGCTATTTGCAGAAGAGGTTTTCAAGCCACA